AAGGGGCGTGTCACTTTGCAACCTGCGGCGCGCTATCGTTTTATTGAATAGACAATAATTGAGATCAAATGCACGTACTAGAGCAATCACAGTAATCTCCCCTTTCCAGATGCTACTTCAATCCACCTCCATCCAGCCGTAAACTCAAGTACTGTTCCCTATTCGGCGATCCGCATCTAATAATGTTCAACGGGTCCATACAAACTTGCTCAGAGGAAGGAGCCCGTCCGCTAGTCGACAATCGCTACTTCTTAGTTCAAGTCACCAATAAGAACGTTCGTGGCGAAGCATTGACCACTACGGTAACCAAGGTTACGGTACTCATTCGCAAGCACAACTGCTCGTCTTCTCTCCACTACGAAGCCACATCCGATGAGGAGGGTTTGCCCCGTGGATTCGTTGATGGGACCACCTACCAGGCAAAAGGATCCAGTTCAAACTCGGTGGAAGTTCTTTGGCAGGATAATAATTATGTGGAAATTGCACTACACTTTATTCACTCCTCAATACACATCCGAAGACAAGGACCGTATCTTTCAGTGTCTGTAAAAGCGCCAAGTATAGTTTTGGAGACTGAAGGTGACGTGGCAAATGAGATGTGTTGGGCGGGATGTCGTCGGAGGTCCAGGATAGCAGCGGAGACTGCTGTCGAGGAGCCAAAGAAGTTTGCAGAGTGCTACAGGCGGAGAGTTCATGTGCCAAAGAAGGTGGCGGAAGGTGAGCTAGGCTAGTCTACTGGAGCGCGATTACTGACCTCGGAATTTTAAAATCCTTTTTTTTCAGACCGCTGTCGAAATGTGGGAACTTCTGGAACATTCTTCGACGCTTGTATCTTTGATCTCATGTTCACAGGTAAACGCGCTCCTATACGAACTTTTTTATCCATATAGCGCATTTTCTAGGCGACGACTACCTGGTTCATTTATCTCGGAATGCTCAATCGGATTTCCGTCGTTTAGCACCCCACCACTTCCAATCCCAAATAATCCAACAACGCGTTCGTCAACAACAGGAGCATAATAGAAATCTCCCCTTGAATTCCACTCAAGTTTTTGATAATTGTTTACCTAATTCTTCTTCTTTTTCTAAAAGTATTACCAATTGCTCAGCTTTACTTGCCATATTCCTCATTCTGATACCCATTCTATAGAGCGCACTTGCTTTTTTTTTCAAAATTCAAATTTTTTTGTTAATTGATTTTTTTTTTCTTTTATTGATCTCTATCTTTTCTGCTTTTGCGGGTTTTCATATTTTTCTGTAAAAAAAATTGTGTTGAATAAAAATGAGTAAAAACTACAGTAACCTATAAACTTTTCGGCGAGTGGGTCTCGAAACGAAATTAGTTTTTTTTTAGCGCGAAACATTAATTTTTGAGTTTCTGACTTTTTTTTCGGTCGTTTTTTTACGATTTTTCAGCTTTTTTGCTGATTTTTTACAGATGTTACACCGGAAACCAGTAAAATTTAATTTTCTTTCGTATAATTTAAGTAGTCGTTTTTCGACAATTTCAGTCGAATTTTTAGCGATTTTCAGTCTTTTTCGTGTATTTTGTCCCCAAGAAACACTCCAATTCATCTTCATTTCATGTTATTCAGTAGTACTAGACGAAAGGCATACAACACATGACAACAATAATAATAATAATAACAATAATATGTCCTTCTCCTTTCCTCTCATTTCTTCTGTTGCTGTTGCTGCCTCAAGTATTCACCGATAGTGTTGTAAATGCATTCGTACTGCTTCACAGTGTGTACCATACTTGGTCGCTGTTGTCGTGAGCGATTCACTTCGCTGTAATAATTTTGTTTTGTTTAACGATAGAGCGAATTTGCTACTTTTACGGTACAATTTTTACCTAAAAATGTCGATAATTCCTTCTGATTCCAATCGCGAAATCACGTTGTCTGTGCAGATGAACACTCCGGTTCGGCCGATTCCGGCGCTGGAAGAATTTTGAATTTTTTTGGATCTCGGGATTTCTGGGAATTTCCAAATTTTGAGATTTTTAGAATTTTTAGAGATTTTTGAAATTTTGGGATTTTCAAAATTTCTAGTGGTTTGTAATTTTCGGGTTTTCTGATAATTTCGAAATTTTTGGGGGTTTTTTTTTCGAGGTTTTTAGAATTTTCGGGATTTTCAGAGATTTTTGAAGTTTTGGGAATTTTCGAAATTTTTCAATTTTCGGAATTTTTTGCGGTTTTTGTAATTCTCGGGATTTCTGGGAGTTTCCAAATTTTTTAGAATTTTTGAAATTTTGGGATTTTCGAAATTTCTAGTGGTTTGCAATTTTCAGTATTTTCGAAATTTTTGGGAATTTTCGAAATTAAAAGTTTTTTTTTCGGAATTTCCGAATTTTCGCCGAAAATGAGTCCACCGACCATTCTTCAGTGAGCTTCTATTGACAAAAGTACATATAAAAAGACTTTGAATGATTAATACTCAGGAAATCAAAATTTCTGATTATTCTGCACTATCAGTCCTCTTATCATTGCGACGTCCATCACACTGAACAAGAAGCACCTGTTTTTGGTCACATGTCTTGAATGAGTCTGTTTTGTCGCTCTCGACCCCGCTTTCACAATTTCCCACCATTTTCCGCTCAACCAGAGAAAGAAAAAAAACAATATTTGTTTTTGTTTTGTGTTCCTTCTCTTTCCGCCCATTTCGCCCAGCCACACTCACCTGCAATGAACAACAACCGGTGACGTGTACTGCCTGCCGCGAACCTGGAGCAGGAACTCGAGAAACGTGCTCAGGCGCGGCGTATCGCTATCCTTCCACTCTTTGTATTGCCAATGCGACACTTTCATATGGTTCGCCACACTTGACGTGCGGCTCTTTCTACTGTTTTTTGTGCTCCGAGAGAAGTAGGATGGGGTAGGCGAGACGTCGAACTCGCGGTGCACCCAGGCTTTTTCCTCTAGTTCGCAAACGATTTTCACCTCGACACTACCGTATCTCGTGGTTTTTCCCATTGATGTCGGCCAGTACTCGCCGCATTTTTGCTGGAAAGGGAATCTTGTTTTTTTTGAAGGGACCAATGTTCAATGATCAATCTAGATTGGACATTGGATTTCTGTCGGCAGCAGCTGGTCTAACTATCTTATAGTTTGAAATCTAGCTTACTGTATCATTGAGGTTGTCATAACTTGCTTCAAAATCAAGATTTCCACCCCAATCAAACAGTAAAACGTAGCTCTTGAGAAGCGCTACAAAATGATACTAAATTTGAATATTTTTGAATGTTGAGTTTGTGTTCAAGACTCGGAATTTGGAATAGGTCAAATAAAGTATCATTTTGTAGACCTTTTCAAGCTCTACATTTTACGATTTGGTTCGATCGGAAATTTAGATTTTGAGGCGAGTTATATGTCTTTCTAGGTCAAAAAGCTCTGAGCTTTTCTCCCAAAGCTCCTGCTGAAAAATTTCTTTATTGAACTAAGTCAAGTTTAGTATCGTTTTGTAGAGCTCAGTGAGCTCTACGTTTCACTCTTTAGATGAATCGGGAATTTTGAGTTTGAAGCGAGTTATAGGTCTTTCTAGTTCAAAAAGCCGTGAGCTCTTTTCCAAGACTTCTGCTCGGAAATCCCGAATTTGAAATAGGGCAAATTGGATATAATTTTGTAGACCTTTTCAAGCTCTATATTTTACTATTTGGTTCGATCGGAAATTTAGATTTTGAAGCGAGTTATAGACATGCCTAGGTCAAAAAGTTCTAAGCTCTTTTTCCGAAGCTTCTGTTGGAAAAGCCCGAATTTTAAATAGGTCAAATTGGGTATCATTTTGTAGATCTTATCAACCTCTACATTTTTTTCTTGGTTAGTTATAGGCCAAAGTGTTTGGGGTTCTTTTCCGGACCTTTTTCTGGTAAAGTCTGAATTTGAAGTAGATCAAATTTAGTATCATTTTGTAGGCCTTTTCAAGCTCTAAATTCCGATTGTAGGTCAAAAAGCCTGGTCGATTTTCAACCCTTTTTTTCAGACCGGAAATTTCCATTTTTCTTGCAAACCTTCGAAACACTTCCCATATGTCTCTATCTCTCTATCTCTCTCGCCACACACACATTAAATTGTCTGCCTGGCTGGTATACACTCCAACGAGTCGTAACACAAACGATGAAAATCGTATCAAATTTGATAAACGTGTTTCTTCTACTTTTCTCGAAATCAGAATCAGGTGATTACGATTTTTTTCCCAAAGTTTTGACCATCATCGTACTGTGTGTGTGTGTGTCTTTTCTAGTCGGAAAATCAGAATTCTAAATTCTACGTCAATTTCCGGTTCAAAAAAAATCTTTGGTCTAGAAAAACTCTTTTCCTTCGAACACGTCGGATTACGGTACCGTCTAAGAAAGAATACTTGGGCTAAAACACACCACAAAATCCTCCTGATGCTGGCCCAGCATTACAATGCACGCCACATCATACTGTACAATCATTTGCCAGAAATCCGACACCGTCTCCTTGCCCACCATCTCCCCAGCGTCAATTGGGGCTTGTGTGGCAATCCATCTCAACGCATCCGTCTCGCCCTATAAAAAATATTTTACGTACTTTTTGTGTACTTTGCCGTTTCTGCCCAATCCTCTAAGGGCAATTTAAAAGTGCACCTGTACGAAGCTCGCATTAATGTAGTCGCCAGTGTCGAGTTCAACGAGCGTGTGATCATCTGAAAATGAAAAGGGAATGACCTATTTCCGCCCCCCCCCCCCAACAGACTCACAAGGCACAATGTCTGAGTATCTATTGGCGGCCGGGTGTCTCGTCGCTCTTTCAGTGCTCCGCGTCAGCCGGCGAGCTTCCGTTCGCGAGAGAACCTAGAGCAGAGGGAAATGTCTCTTTTCTTGCCTATTTGGTCTTCGTCGTCTTACCAGGAACTCGTCCTGAAGAATACGTCGTCGATTCACGGTGTCCTTTGTCATGCTTGCCAGGAAGCTGTCCGCAGAGTAGTCGCTTTAAAACCCTTTTGATTGTTTTTTTTTTGCCCCTGGGGGGGGGGGGGGGGTGTGGAGTGACTCATTTTTAAACTTCTTCTAGTAGAAAGTGACTAATCCGAGAGGCTTATCAGGTTATCTCTGGAAATTTAACATTTTGAACTTCTCCTGGTCTAGCTATTCCAGCTAGTTGTTTTTGGGGAAACAAGTTCCAATTATGAGTCACCCCACGTCTTCTAGGAAGACGAGTGGTGGGACCCTCCTCTCAAGGACCCTCTTCTAGTCCCCAGAATAGACAAAACACGTTACGTCTCCATAGCTATCGCACTCTGTGCCGGGCACACTTTGTTCGTATCGATGCGCAACCCGGCGGGTCGTTTTTCAGCGGCTGGCGTTGAAATCTTTTGAAACCCATCTATCTTTTTGCCATCTGCCTCTGAAGACGTTGTAACCGCGACGGGAGGTACTACAGCTACTGGCGGCGCCGGGTCCTCGACACTTGGCGGTAGTTGTTGTACCTGCTTTGGTGTTCGTCCTCGACTGTAACATTTCGACTTTCACTTTACAAGTCTTGAGAAAGGAGAGTGAAATTATATAATGTATTGGACCTGACCTCGCCCGTCGCAGCCGACTTGAAGTCTTATGGTAGACGTAGAGAATGAAGCACGTGATGCAACACATTAGCAGCATACTCACTGCCATACAGGCGATGATTATTTCGGCTACTGTAACAGGCCGCTTACTGTACCTTACATGGAAATTCTAATGCTTACCAGCCATTTTCTAGAAGCCTAAAATTGGCGTAGAAATCCAATAAATGTGAGTAGTTGTGGCAATAATGGCAACAGGTAGAGAAACTGTTTCGAGATGATGCAACATTTCCCCCTGTCTATAGGGATATAAGCCGATTAGAGGGGACCCAACAAACAACCAAATAGATACAGATATCCCGTTTATAGGCGTTGTTGTGTTGCGGGAAACCTTTGGGCGGTATATAATTGGGGTTATGTAAGCCTAGGATTACTGTAGAACCTTTCTACGAGAAGGGTTCACTCTATCTTAGGTTTGGGATCTATCAGGGGGTCTATGAGCCTATCAAGATTACCAATAAGGGTTCGACGTTATCTAAGAGACCTAAGATCAAATTCAAGATGGCTGCAAGGGCTCTCTAACCTAGGATTACTGTAGATGGGAACTATCAGTGCATCTCTGAAATTTGGGTCTTGATAAGAAGGTACTCTTTAATGGGATTACTGTAGAAGGGTTCATCCTATCTGAGATTTGCGGCCTTGATGGAAAGGCAGGATCTAGAGCCATAGGTGCTCCTAATCTCCACGTGGGATCTAGAGACCAGTACAGAGTCTCTAGCCATTTGAGAAGACACCGTATATGGGATACGGTAGCTCTAGCCTCGAGGCTGAGAATCCAGGAAACGTATAGTTCTCTACACAGAAGGTGTCCGATTATTCTCTCCCTCCACAGCCAACATCTGCCCGACCAATTGGTCCACAGAGGCCCTAGATCGAATGCGAATCTCTTTTCCTGAGAATCAGATCAAACCACATGTGCTCGCCCCGTCCACTGCACTTGTGTTTTTTGTGATCCCGTTCACTCGGTCTCGTTGTTCTCGAGTTCACCCCTCCCCTGTCACGGTGTCAACCATCGATTCGCGATCTCTCTGTCTCTCTTTCTCTCTCTAGAAGAGGCAGGTGAAAATGGGAGGAGACGATGATGGGGGTCTAGGTCATCTGCCCCCAACCAGTGTCAGGCGATTTTTTAGTGTCGTTTTCAAAAAGTTGGCTGGTATTATGTGTCTCTGAAAGTGTCTGATCCAGACACTTGTGCTGTCGTCTAGAACATTATATTCCCCGTAGATCAAAAATTCATGAAACACTTTTGTCTCTTTTCACGCATCACATGATTTCATCTCGCACGGAAAAAGAGCAAAAGTGTGTGCTATTTACTTCGGAGGGTGTGCTGTTTTTTTATATGTATGTATGTTTTCACTTTGGTCACTGATTTTCACGTCGTTTTGTTTTTTTTTTCGATTCTCGAGCTGATTGCTTGAGCTTATTGGTCGCTAAAGTCAAAAATCCACGTGTCATCGATTTTTGTAATTTTCACGTGAAAGTCGATTTTTGCAATTTTTACGTAAAAAATAAAACTTTTGATTTTCCACGTGAAAGTCGATTTTTATGTGAAAAATCGATTTTTGCAATATTCACGTAAAAATCGTAATTTTTCATTGTACACGTCAAAAATGAATATTTTTATTTCTCACGTAAAAACGCCTTTTTTTCAAATTTTTACGTGGAAATGGGGATTTGCCTTTTACACGTAAAAAATAAATATTCTCATTTTCCACGTGGAAATTCTAATTTTTCGATTTTTTCACGTGAAAATCGACTGACCTAGATTCTCATGTAAAAATTGGAATTTTTCATTTTCTACGTGGAATTTCAATTTTTACGTGAAAATCGCATTTTTCACGTAAAAATTGGAATTTTTCAGTTCCCACGTTCAAAATCTTATTTTTCGATTTTTTCACGTAAAAATCGAACGGCCTAGATTTTTCGCGCAAAATTAAAATTTCCGCGAATTTTTGCATTTTTCACGTGACTCTTTTTTTTTCAAGTGTCACGTATTCGAGTGCGTGTGCACCTAAAAAATTTTTCGCCATTTTAGGCCTAAAATCGTCCTGTTCGGCCGAATTTTCCAATTTTTGTCCCAGACCACACCACCATCCCTGATTTGTCGTCAAGATTAGCGTTTATTACATCATTCAATGCAATTTGTTGTAGTACCTTTAGTAAAGGTCTTTTACATCAGAATGACACGAGAAAAAGGAGATTTGCTAACGTAGATAATGTAGCACTATGCAAATTTACAGTTGCCTTGCCTTCTTCTCTCTCTCTCTTTCTCTCTCTCTCTCTCTCTCTCTCTCTCTCTCTCTCTCTCTTCTCTCTCTCTCTCTCTCTCTCTCTCTCTCTCTCTCTCTCTCTCTTTTCTATTTCGCGCTTCCAGTTTTGTCATTAGTCAGTCTAGCACAGCAGACGCATTGCCTACCAAATGACGCAGGCCTGAATCTCTCACGTCTCTCTCTCCCACACACTATTTTTTCTCCCCTCGGGTTCAAAAGGCTGGGTGCTGCGTCTCTCCGTCTCTCCCCTCTCAGCATCCTCCATTCGTATTTGCCTTCCCCCCCCCCCCCCCCAACCAACCTTGTGCCTGGCTGTTGCTGGCTGGGGGCTTCAGGAGAAGGAGGAGGCCGGTTTTCGATATATCGCTTTGTTACACATCTCTCTCTCTCTCTCTCTCTCTCTCTCTCTCTCTCTTTCTGTTTTTCTCTTTCCCTTCTTTTCTTTCTTTCTTCCCTTCATTTTTTTGTTCGAAAAGGTACATTTATTGATTTTTGCCCCCTTCTTCAGCTTCTTCACACCAAAATGGACTCGCGAGCATCGACATCGTCTGGCGCCATGCGTGCGCTCTCCATGGAGCTCAAAAATCTGCAATCGCAACCGGTAGAAGGATTCACGATAGACGTCAACGAGGACAACATGTTTCTGTGGAGCGTCGGCATCTATGGACCGCCGATGACGTTGTATCAGGGTGGATATTTCAAGGCGACGATTCGATTCCCATCCAACTATCCGTATCAGCCACCATCGATGAAGTTCACGACGAAGGTGTGGCATCCGAATGTCTATGAGGTTGGTTTTGAGCTTTTTACCATATTTCACGGCCTGTTACATCTCTCCTTCCCAGTTCCACATAAATTTTTTCCTCAATTTTACACAATGGGGAGCGAGAGAGGGGGGAGAAAAATCAATTCTTTCCTCCTCCCCGCATGACAAATATTTGTATTAGAGCGCATTTGCATTTTTCAACACACGTATATTTTTTACACATTTTTAATATAGAATTTCATGGAATTTCCACTTTTCAGGCCAGTTTGGCGGGAAATTTGAATTTTTCAGATTTTACATGAAAATTTGAATTTTGAATTTTTCACTTGAAATATCGATATTTGATTTTTTACGTGAAATTTCGTTTCCACGTGGAATTTTGATTTTTTACGTGAAAATCTAAAAATTACATTTCCACGTGAAAAAAAATTTCATGTAAAATTTGAAATTTCGCGCCAAGCTATTTATACAATACAGCGCACTTGCTATTTGTACGGTAGAGCGCACTTCCTCACTCTTCTAATTCAAACAATCTAATTTTCAGAACGGTGACTTATGCATCAGCATTCTCCACGCGCCCGTCGACGATCCACAATCCGGGGAGCTGGCGTGCGAACGATGGAATCCCACTCAAAGTGTCCGTACCATTCTTCTCTCGGTCATCTCGTTGCTCAACGAGCCGAACACGTCTTCGCCAGCCAACGTCGACGCGTCGGTGATGTATCGCAAATGGAAGGAGGAGCAGGATCCGGAATACGCGAAAATCGTCAAGAAACAAGTCGAGGACTCGAAGAAAGTGGCTCAGAGTGAAGGAATTCAGGTGCCAGAGACCATTGACGAGTACTGTGTGAAGTGGGCGCCACCAAAAGATGAGACTGACTATGGGATGTTGGGTAAGCTAGAGAAAATCTTTCAACATATCAAATTATCGATCTTTGTTACAGACGAAGATTGCTTCTATGACGACTACCAAGAAGACGATCAGTCTGACGAGGAAGAGGATGATTGCGGAGCATCGGACTATGGAGATGACGACGAGGACTCTGGGCAGGGAGAGAATTAGGCGGATCGGATTTTCAAATGTTCTTTCTTATAAAAATTTATTTTTTGAAATTTCCATATCATTTTTCCCCTCTTATATTCACCTGCTTCGTTTACTAGTCCTCACAAGTCCATGCATCTATTTTCGTTGTTGTACACTTTGTATGTACCCAATTCTTCTTTAAGAAACAAAAAACTACAAATAATCATTCGAATTTATTTTTTTATGTCATTTCATATTTCGTTACCACACCTTTCTTTTTTTCCGGATCAATGAAGTATCTTTTTACTCAATTTTCTTTTTTTTTTTTTAGTTTTTTAGAAGATTTTTTGAGTTGAAAATTCTCGATTTTTACCAAAAATCACACTAGGAAGGCTTCCAGAATCGAAATTGAACGATTTTAAAAAAATTTCAGCCAAAATTAAGCTGAAAATCGCGAAAAACTGCTTTCAAATATCGAAAATCGTGCGCTCGTAAATCAACAAAAGCGCTTTTCGTGGCGAAACCCTTCCTTGTTCTACCAGTGGAGCGCGCTTACAGCACTCTCCGTCTCTCGGTTTCACACGCTCTCTCGATGCACACTTCGAAATTTTCTATTGTTTGAGCTCAAATTTGGAATCTTTCTCTAAAATTATTCAAATTTTATGAGAAAATTTTTCAAACCGTTGAAAATTTAAAATTTCCAGAAAAAGTCATGAATAAACGTCAGAATCCAGCGGAATTCCTGAAGAAAGTCATTGGAAAGCCGGTCGTCGTGAAACTCAACTCGGGCGTCGACTATCGTGGAATTTTGGCTTGTCTCGATGGGTAAGACAGTGAGAAATCGGAAAAAATTAGAAATTTTGAAGTAAAACTGTATTTTTCAGCTAAAATGCGATATTCTGAAAAATTTTACAAATTTCTAGCTGAAAAATCTCTTCTTTAACTGAAAAATTGCATTCTTTAGCTCAAAAAATCCCACGAAACACAAAATTAAAAAATTCCAGATACATGAACATTGCGCTGGAACAAACCGAAGAGTACAGCAACGGGCAGTTGCAGAACAAGTACGGCGACGCGTTCATTCGTGGAAACAACGTCCTCTACATCTCCACTTCGACGAAGTAACCAGGAGAAGCTTCTCGATTTTTAACTTATTCAATTTGCTAATTTTTTTTTCTTCTTTTCCTGTTTCAATGGATCTCTTTCCTTCAAATTTTTCAATAAATGTTGAATTTTTGGTTTTTTTTTCCATATTTTCCCTTCTCTTGTTTTTCAGGTCTGAATTCCGATTTCCAGAGAATTTTTCGCAAAAAAGAATAGACAAGCACATTATTTTCCATTTCTTTACCCATTTCCATCGAAATCTTCTGCATTTTTCTTCAAACCTTCAAATAAGTTGTTTTTCATAATGTTCTCAATATTTTTTCTTCAAAACTTCAGAAATTTCTGCGGAATTTGTCCTTAAAACCCTCATTTTTCGCTTGCGAAGCCTGCAAAATGAGCGGGTTGAGTTCCCTCGAGTGCGGTGCGGTCGCGACGCGGTTTGCCGGGTCTCGCCACGAAAAGCGCATTTTTCAATTTACGGGGGCACGATTTTCGAAATTTGAAAGCTGTTTTTCGCGATTTTCAGCACAATTTTCAGCAAATTTTTCGCTGAAATTTGGAAAAGAATATTTTGTTTTTGAAATTCCCAGAATTTTATCATATTTTCGTCGCTTAATTGTCCGTATTTCACTTTTCATCTATTAAGAAAAATGTTTCTTACAGATCGCTGTTGATGCGAATAATGCCACCTGGAAAATTTCGTCTATCTGACACAGTAAGTTATTTTTAAAGTTAAAAAATTGTCTGAAAATTAGCCTTTTTTCTTTTGCTCCCCCGAGTGGTAAGTGATATTTTGAGATGACATGCATTTTGTAAAAAAAACCACTTTTCGATGATTTTTCTCTATTGAAAAAGAGACAAAAGTGGTTTCAAACAAACAATTTGCACATTTCAAATGATACCCTCTCTCAAAAATCACCCGATTTTCTAGTGAAAAGACCAAAAGAACTCTGGCTCTCTCTGCCCCAAACGCCATCAGACGTCGTGCGATACTCTCGTTGTTCTCTACCATTTTCCGGTCAAAAGCAGTTAGTTTGAAAAATGCCAATAACATGTAGAAAGTTCTAGCAAAAAAAACCGAAAAATTTGACCCAAAATTATATGTATAAATTTTTTCCAGATGTCAAGAGAATGGCGAACATGTCCACGTTGTAAGAATCGCTTCCTCAAACCAGAGGTACTGAATGCCGACAAACACGGATACACAAAGTATTGGTGGATTTGTGAAAATTTTAATGTAAGTTTAGATCCAATTATCCTAGAAATATGATTCAATTTCTTTCAGAATTGCAATTTCCCACTCGATATGCCATCCAACATCTACCATGTCACCCAGAGCCCGGCTCAAAAACAACAAAAATGCATTCCCCTGCCGGAAATCTTCTCGCTCCCCGAAAAGTATCATTATATGTACCCCCTAACCTTTGTCAACTCTCGACCCAATTCTCGATGCTCCAGTGTTGTCTCCTCCCACGTGGCAAACTCCAGAAACGACACTACCATCGATTCATGGACCGATGGAACGCTATCGGAGAAGTCTAGTGGACAAAATAGGCTGAAGGCGTTGAGTCTGAAGTCTGGAGGCACTATAAACACCAATTCGAATACGCCATCCACGTCGGCGCAGTCATCGGAACGAGGAGAACATGAGAATAGTGATAGTATAGATGAGGAGGTGGAGGCGGCCGCGAAGAAATCAACGACGCGGTGTAGAGTTGTGAGAAGGAAGCGGTATCACGATACGAGCAGATCATGGGCGGCGCTTATCGAGAAAGTGTCCGCTGATGCGCATACCGCGAACTCGATTATCAATATGGAGGTAGGTTTTTTCAAAATTTGAAATTCGAAATTAAAAAAATTGGGATCCAAACTAACTAATTTCAACTTTTTTTCCAGGAATCGGAACTGTTCCAACGAATGAAGGAGTTTTTCGACGCGCAGTACTTCCAGAGAACCCCTATGGCGTTCAAACGTCCCGGAATACGGTTGGATCCCCCTGCTCTTCACAATCTCATCATCTTACCAGATAATTTTTTTAGCGTCACGTATCGTGTGGAAGATGTGGAGAGTTGTTTGGCAGCTGTCACAAGTGCTGACTGGCGGACGGCTCGAATGAAAATTCCGTGTATGACGGTGACTGAGAAACAGTCGCTGAGGACTGCAACGTCGGAAGAGCTGTTGAAAAGTGTTGGAATTGATTTGGCGGAGATGAAGAAGGCTGTGGGAGAGAAGGTTGGAAAAGTTATGGTAAGTTTTGAGGGGAACGAGTTTCGGTACTATTGTGGTACAAAACAATCGGAGCTGAAAAACACTGAAAAATGTCATTTTGGACGTTTTTCATTGCCAAATTCCTTTTTTCCCATAGTCTGATTGGTTAAAACTTGCAAAAATGCGCTAAAACCTCACTTTTCTAAAAATTCGGCGTTCGTGTTCTTTTCGAAGCTACAGTAATCCAAAATCTGCTTGAAATCGGCAACAGCATTCCCTTTTTCTCGCTTGATTTGGGTTTTTTGATGAAATTGACTATGGAATCCGGAAACGGAATGTCAAAATATGAGGTGGCAAGTTTTGCCTAAACCGACCAAGTTTTGCCTAAACCGAAAACCGAATTCGGCAATGAAAACTCTCCAAAACGGCATTTTTCAGTGTTTGCCGAATTTCGGAACTACAGTAATTTAGAGATTTGAGCTAGAATTGTGTTGTTTTCGGAATTCAAATTCAATTTTCGGGGAAAAACACAAATCTAAGTTAGATTATCTAACGAAAAAATTGAAAAATTAGAGTTTTTGTCGATTTTCAAGCAAATTCTGGACTACTGTAGCTTCGAAAATGATCGGCTGTTGAAAACTTTATGATCCAAGCCCTAACCATACCAAGTTTCAGCGAGGATTCAGCACCGAAACGCTAACGAAACGAAGGAAGATCGAGGAAGAGCGGAAACTCGAAGAGCAACAACGCGAACAAACTCGTCAGGAGACAATACATCATTCCCTTTCCGCGCGAATTTTGAATCGAAAAATGCGGCGAGACGAGGAGGAACGGTCCCGGGCGAGCACTCCAGCGTCGTCCGTTCATGATTTAGCTCATGATGTTCCTGAATACCACCATCAGCAGCCTCAGTCCAGCCACCAATTCCAAGAACCCGCCGCGCCCGTTCAATTCAGTTTGGGCGAAGAAGGAGAGCAAGAGCAGCAGTGGGGATTCGATTTGGATGGTCTCTACGAGAGTATACATGCTCAGAACTATCAAAACCACGTGGCAACGGATCCTCAAAACCCGGTGGACGCTATCCTATCCCAGCTAGACGAGGAGCACCAAGAGCATCCTGTAGAAGGGTTGGAGCATAACGGAGAGCATTCTGGAGATGAGCAAGAGGAGGAAGACGTTGGATTCGGTGATTTCGGTGCCAGTGACGATAATTTTGCTGCTGATAATTTTGGTTTTTAAATGTTTTGTGCCTTTTTTAAAAATCTTTTTTGTACTTTTCATATCTCTTTTTCTTTTCTAAATGTGTTTTTTTTTGTTTCAATGTTCCCTTTTTTCTTCTCTGCCCATCAATAATAATAATCGACTCGGTAATTCTACATCTCTTCCTCAAAATTGTAACCGTTTTTCAACACTTTTGTGTATCTTTGAAAATTTAAAAATCTAGCGAATTAAAAAACCGAAAAAAAAATCAGAAACTCCTCCAGATGGACTACGAGGTGAGCCGAAAAGTGTGGGATTCGCAGATCCCGGTGCAATTCACACTGCAAGCCGGTGGACCGCTTGGAGATCCACTTCCCTACTATACGATGCTACCAAGATTCACCTATTTGGCATTGACACTTCCCAAGGTGAGCTGGAAATTTGAATTCAAGAGAAAATAGCGGAAATACAGGTTTTTGGGAGCTACAGTAATCCAAAATTGGCATTTTTGGGATTACTGTAGCTTGCAAAAAATATAGATTTTCGAAAAATAGAAAACAAACAATTTTGGCTGAAATTTCTCAAAAAAGTTTGGCTGAAAATTTCCTTTAAAAAATTTTCAGCCAATTTTTCGAGAAGTTTTTAGACAAATTTTCTAAAATTTAGACTGAAAATCCCATGTTCCAGGTCCTCTCAAGTTTCAATCGTCGCGAGAACGGCGAGACTATTCTCGCCGAAAAAGTGCATTTAGAAGTGAACGGTGCGCCAGTGAAGATGTACATTCCAGTCGGCGTCATCTACGATCAGCTGAATCAGAAGAATCTAGAATCCGAAGGAATTCTGGAGATCCACGTAAGGACGTCCCAACCGGCCCCGCTCGATTTTCAAATGGTTTCTGTTGATTCGATGAGGGCAATGTTCTGTCAAACGGTCAAAGAGGCCGATTATTTGAAGACAAAGGCAGAAGTGACGAGTAGTTTGATGAAGGAGGATATGCCACAGTTATGGCAAAGCGTTGTCAATAGTAAGTCTGAAAATCATTGAAAATCGCCTAAAAATTGTTTAAAGGGGGACTCCGACCAAAAAATTTTATTGCATTAAAATTTTTGAACAATTGTCTATTTTCCTAATATTATAGCGAAAAAATTCGAAAAAAATCCGAAATCCCCGAAAAATGCCGTTAAAAGCGAAAAATTTTCAAAAAAAAGTTGCTAGGAGGGACGAGGATTTGAATTCCCGCGCAGTGAGAAACCTAGGCTACAGCGCCTG